ATATTTTTAAGTATAATAACTAATTTTTAAAAAGAATTAATTAAAATTTTGAATTTTGAATAAAAATTTTAATTTTTAAATATAAGTTAAGATTAATACACATTAATTTCTAAATATAAATTAAAAAATAATATTTTTAAGTATAATAACTAATTTTTAAAAAGAAATTAGAAATTCATAAAATGTCATTTAAACGAAGTAATTTTTAAGTAACACAGTCGGTAGGATAACCACATCGCTTGTAGCCGCTGTGGTATGGATGAACCAACCATGACGACAAGGCCACCTCCTACAAAAGTCAAGAAAAATCCTCATTTTCTCACTGTCATTTTCTTAAAAACCATGACTGCAACCCGACCTCACGCTAAAGTTTCTTGCTTTCTTCTCAAAATTCCAAAGCCAAAGCCAAATGTGACGCCATTGACTTTGTCGCCTCTGTTTCATACTTTTCAACCGGCTACCTACTTCTCAAAGGAAGGATATAGACTTAGAGTTTTGTGGGTTCTGTTGAGATTTGATGGTTCTGGCTTTCTTTGAAAATGGTCGTTTACCGTGCGTGAATTCGGGTTCTTGGTCGCCTGAAATTCTCAGGTCGTCATGATGTGGGGGATGAGAATTTTTGACTGTGTTTTCGCTGTCTCGTGGTGTTATTTGGTGCTTTTTGCAGCAGCTCGGGTTACTGATCCTACAGAAGGTAATTTTCTTCTAGTTTGAGACTGTTTTGATGTTTTCTGCTAAGGTTTTGGATAGCTCTGATTCAAAACTGTATTTGAGCATGGTGTTGATTACATTCAGATGAAGAAAAAGTAGCTCATATGAAGTTGGAATCATGTGTTTTACTATCTTAATGTGGTATAACAGGATTCAGGATTTTTCTATTGAGTAATGAATACCTTTTCCATAGAAAAGAGCCAACTGGGTTCATTAAACATTTCAGCTTCCTTGTTTTCAGTGTCTTGCCTTAATTCTGCCAAACAGCCAGGTGATGTCAGATTCTAAGAAATTCATAGTAATAATCTGCAACCAAGCATCATATCTATTTATATATAATTGATATTAGGACATACGATGTAGCCTTGTGTGTTTTCAAAATTATCTGAGTTTGGCGTTAAGAATTTGTGATTATGTTTGATTAAGACTTAACTTTAATGCACATCTTAGGAATTTAATATGTTAGTGTATATCCCTTTACATTTCATCTTATATTTTGTGTTCAATTGCAGTCCACGCATTGCTAGCAGTGAAAAGCTATTTAGATGATCCTATGCAACATCTCAGAAATTGGAACAAGGGGGATCCTTGCCGTTCAAACTGGACAGGAGTTCTATGTCCTGCTACAGTTGGGACTGATGGCCACTTTCATGTTCAGGAGATGTATGTTTTCTCATTCCACTCTCTTCATTTTCAAGACATATCTTTTGTTAATAGTAGGCTCGTCTACTTTCTGTTGTTGTTAGTGCTATTACTTTGATAATAAATACTTGCGTTTCTGGAATTTGCTACAGCCAGCTGCTAAATATGAATCTTTCTGGATTGTTAGCACCAGAGCTTGGCCAATTCTCTCAACTTCTAGTATTGTGAGTCATAAAACTCATTGAATGGATTTTGGATAAATTTAAATCAGATCTATTATTTTCTTGCCAGTATTTTAACACCGTTTTCAATTTTTTTTCTGTTAGAGATTTCATGTGGAATAATTTGACTGGCAGTATACCAAAGGAGATTGGAAACATTTCCACCTTGAAACTCTTGTAAGCTGGATTCATGTTATTCCTTCTTCTTATTCTTTGACTTATGAGAAATCATCGAATTATTTGATTTGTAATCTAGTCTGATGCATGAAAAGCTTCCAAATGAGTGCTCTTTTAATTACAAGTCTAAAGAAGAAGTCCTGAGAAAGGGGAAAAAAAAAGCCTTAAGAAGAAAGTGGTCAAAGATTGTGGGCGGTGGTGATAATTCGTTATCAATTATAATTTCAGCTTGATAGTTTTTGTGTAAAAAGGATGGCTCTGGTTCTATATTGTTTTGAGAAAAGAAGTCCTAAAATGATGCTAATGCTGTGCTGTAGAGATTTGTTTGAACTTTAAACTCATTGCAGCACAGTTACATATTTATTTGTGTACAATTTATCTATTTACGTGAATTGCTATTTCATGATAAAAAATATGGTGTTAATCACACTTCATGCATTCTGTTACTTATGCAGGCTCTTGAATGGTAACAAGTTCACAGGCTCTTTGCCAGATGAGCTTGGCAACCTTTCAAATCTAAATAGACTTCAAGTGGACCAAAATGAAATTTCAGGTCAAGTGCCAAAATCATTTGCCAACTTAAGCCGTGTGAAACATCTGTAAGTGGATGATATTCAAGCTAAATGCCAGTTAATGTTATTGAGGAGATTAGCATTTTCTGATGCATTTTATATCTTTGCGTGTAATTCTTTCAGCCACTTGAACAATAATTCAATAAGCGGTAATCTTCCTCCTGAGCTTTCTAAAATATCCTCACTTGTTCACTTGTAAGTTCATTTAGAATTTGATGTCATTTATAGTAGTTTTTTTCTAGACTCATGATTTGATTTTTCTATATTGAGCATTTTTATTGATACAAGTAATGATGAAATGAATTTCTGCACTCTGCAGGCTTTTGGATAATAATGACTTATCTGGATTTCTTCCACCAGAATTCTCGAACTTACAAAACTTGCGAATACTGTATGTTGTTTCTGTCCAATCTTTCTTGACATTTTTTCATTGATAATTGGTTGATATCTACCTGGCTTTAACTTGCTTCTTTACTGAGTCTATGGACTTCCTACTCACTCTATTGTGTTAATGGTTTGATAAAGTTTTAAGTAGTTCCACAGAGGCATATGGTATCTTATTTTCTCATTCTTGTGGTTAAATTTGTTTGCTTATAATTGGGTTATTCTTCTCTGCAGTCAACTTGATAACAACAACTTCGGTGGGTCTGAGATTCCACATTCTTATTCGAACTTTTCCAAACTAGTAAAATTGTAAGTATTATCAAAACAATTTGCCATCTCAACCTTGAAGTTGACTTGAGGAATTTTCAAATTCTTTGGCCTGGAAAATACTTTCTTTGACAAAAGTGATTGTTATGCCAAGGGAAAATAATGGTAAAAAGAAATATATAAGTCCTGTGGAATCACTCTTCAGATAGAAACATACACAATTCCCACTTTGTGGATAGCATGCCTTTGGCTCTTTAATGTTGGATGGTGTATGCATGGCCATATGTCAAAGAACTTGATTTCCATTCAAGTTAGAAAACCTTCCACATTGACATTGCCCAAGACATCAATCACATGCCTCTATTATTTGGAAACACATTCCCCAATAATATGGTTGTTCCTATTTTAGAAAACTACTTGTCAGATGCAACTGCAACAGTTTTGTAGAAACTGACAGCCATGCATTTGTTTTAGATAACCTATGATTTACAGAACTGTTTCTATTTCTCTAGTGAGTTTGTTAGAATTTATGACCTTCTAGGAATCAGAAAGTTTGCTTGGATCTTTTGGGGATGGTGAAACATGCAAGAAAATAAAGGGTAGCTCGAACTTGTATGAATTAACATACCAACAATGGCTTAGCTGAGTTGGCATCCACTAACTTGAAAACCTTAATTCTAGGGTTGACGTCAGGAGACGGCGGTACAAACCTCTGAAATAGATGAGCTCTGCTTCTTCTCTGATAAAGAAAAAAAAAAAAAAAAAGAGTATGAATTAATATAAACCTTAACCTAACTGAAAATTGATTGTTGAGTTGAATTTTGCAATATTATGTGCCTTTTAACATTCCATAATTTTGTCTAAAACTAGGATTGATAATCTTTATTCTGGATATATTTGCCATATGGTACTAATATTTTTATTAGGGGACCTTTGAATGTGGGCTGCACAACAGTGGATACCCCTACCATCTCAAATCCCTTTGCCACCTTAGACCTCCATCTTGAAAGTCCCATGCTAAAACCATTGGGCCGTCCACCAATAGTTGGTACTTGGTACTATGAATGATATTATCAAATTAGAAGAGAAACTAAAAATCATGGATGAAGTACTCAGGGATCTATGAACGAAGTTATATATGCATTGATGCTTTCCATTAATAATGCTTTAAGCTAATAAAGTGATAGCTACCTTGAGTTAACAATTGATCTAATTACCACTTTTTGTAAACTTATGTTTTAGTTTTTGGTCTCCAGATTCTCCACTTTTATTTTGTGCTTTCATGCTTTGTACAAAGGAAAAAGGAAAAACAAGCAGTCTTATGTTTTCCCAAGCTGTGCAAGACCACTGATGCCTTTTAATCCTTACTGTGACTTTCCAGGAGTCTTAGAAATTGCAGCTTGCAGGGATCTATTCCTGATCTTAGCAGGATAGTAAACCTTACCTTTTTGTACGTTTGATTACTTGTTAAATCCTTTTGATGTTTCCAATATCCACCTTCCACAAGTTTATTTACAGCCACCGTGATTAACTTTTATTCTTATCACTGGGTTCATGTAACAGGGATCTCAGCCAGAATCACCTTTCTGGAACAATACCATCAAATAAGCTCTCTGAGAAAATGACAACTATGTATGTAATTCATATTTTAGTGAAGTCAGTTGTACTCACCCATCCCCATCCCCATCCCAATACAAAATAAAGAGTAGATCATCTCCTGTCATATTTAACTGTTTCATCTGGATACTCTAATTGCTTAATATTGAAAAAAATGAGAAGGGTTTTTTTAGTGGATGAATCAAAAATTATTTTTAATTGTGAATTGTATTTTCATATTGTTACCTGCTGATTACAACAATGTAATGTGATGAAGATTCTTCTCCAATAAGAAATCAATGCTTCTTAACTGCAGTGATCTTTCTGATAACCAACTTGATGGACCTATTCCCAGAAGTTTCTCAGATCTTCCTCAACTTGAAACACTGTAAGAATCCATCTACTGATTGGACCATTTCACAATATTTCTAGAATTTCTTTTTGGCCAAATATTTCTGGATTATTTCAAAACATTGATTTTAATGTCTTTATATAATCCCCTTGTAACACTCTAGTGGACAAGCATGTTGACATACCCTTAAATGATTGTTTAATGCAGGTCACTAGATAACAATCATCTGAATGGTTCAGTCCCTGCCAACATTTGGCAGAACATTTCCTTTAATGGAAGCACTAGACTTGTAATGTAAGATGTGTGAGAAGAGTCATATTAGAACTTACAACACACTTCTTTGATTTTGAGAAGCATCTAGGCAGGTCTATTGCAATCACACACGGTTCGTGTCTATGAAATAAAATGTAGTACTAATATTTATATATCTTTTTTTCTTTTATGCACATTGAAAACAGTGATCTCAGAAACAATTCACTATCAAACATTACAGGAGTTCTAAATCCTCCAGTAAATGTCACCTTGAGGTATGCATCTTGTTTCTTTTACACTCACGCATAAACTTTGGTCACTTGAATTTAGTTGTTGATATATATCACTATCCGTTCTGTTCTTATTCCTCATAATGCGAAAATTGAAACAAACCATGCTATAACATCAAAAAATTTGTAGTAGTTGTGTCCTGAGTTGACTATTACTTAAAGAGAGTTTGCTTCCAGCTTGATTAGGAGCATTCATAAGAAAGTCATTGCTTGTTAAGTATTGTCTTTTAATTTTTATTTATATGAAGTATCACATACTTACCATTGTAGCTGTTTTTTTAAGACTTGGAGGCAATCCCATCTGCAACAATTCAAACTTGCCAAAAAAAGGTGTGTTCTGTGCATTGGAAGCTGGAGAGGACCTGCCTATGAACTCTACAAACTCAACAGTGGACTGTCAAAAGCAATCATGTCCAATAGCTGATTCCTATGAATATGTCCCTGCATCACCTCTGCGATGCTTCTGTGCAGCGCCTCTCAGAATTGGATATCGGCTGAAGAGCCCCAGTTTCACCTATTTTCCTCCATATATTGATCAATTTGACTTATACCTCACTAGTTATCTCAACATGGACCCATATCAGATGTCAATTGAATCTTATATACATGAACAAGGACGTATTAAGATGTACCTAAAGCTTTATCCAAGGGTCAGTGACCCCTCAAATAGATTTAATGACAGTGAGGTTCTGCGCATTAGAGGCTTATTTACAACGTGGACATTTCCTCCTAATGACTTCTTTGGACCCTATGAGTTGCTCAACTTCACTCTTCTGGGACCATATTCAAATTGTACGTATCTGAGCTTCCAAACTCTTTATAGTATGTAGTGTAACAAACACTATTATTTGTAGTGACATGGTTAAAGTGGTAATGAAGAAACCATAGTTTTATTACTTGCTTCAAATAATTATAAATGCTACATGTTTTATGCTTGGAACTAATTATGATAGAGAAGTTAAATTGAGTTTCAACCATGTATAGTATCTATTTGTACAAAATAGAGTAGTTTGTATGATTTAATCAAGCTGCTTTTGTGACCTTGGTGGACAGTGTGCATAAGAGAAAAGCAGTCAGTACCATACCTACACTAGTTGAAAGTAACCAGGAAATGTGATGGTGCTTTCACTCCTTTCTAGGAAATGATATTAAGCAATTTGATAAATTACAATAATAATTAGGTTTTTTTTTATTGATGAGTATGCTGTATGATTCCTATTGTTGCAGTGCATTTTGGAAATGAAGGATTAAGGATTAGCAAGGGCATTTGGGCAGCCATTATATTGGGAGCCATTGCCTCTGCAGTTGCAACAACAACAATATTAACAATTCTAATTGCAAGACATCATGCTAGACACCAGCGTGTACTCTCAAGAAATCGTCCATGTAAGTATTTTACTAGGTGAATTAATTTCATTTCTGTTAATACCAGCAATATTAAGTAATTATTATGTGTTGCAGCGTCAAGAGCTTCTATGAAAATTGATGGTGTGAAAACGTTCACTTTTAAAGAAGTGGCATTGGCTACTGAAAATTTTAATAGCTCAAGTAAAGTTGGCCAAGGTGGTTATGGAAAAGTGTATAAAGGCACCTTACCTGACAGAACAATTGTTGCCATAAAGCGTGCTGAAGAAGGATCTTTACAGGGCCAAAAGGAATTCTTGAATGAGATAAAACTATTGTCAAGGTTACATCATCGAAATCTAGTTTCCTTGGTTGGATACTGTGATGATGAAGCAGAACAGGTGCATTTTTGTTCTCCTGAACTTTTAAGGGTTGTAACATGTCAACTATGCACATCCCATGTGTGCACATTTGCATATGTGCTCGTTAAGGGGCTTTGGGATAAGACTAAGCTGGATTTTCTTCAGTATTTACTTTATAAGGTTTAACATAATACTGTTCATCATTCAGCTCCTTATGTTGTTGGTGCATTTGCAGATGCTGGTATATGAGTTCATGCCTAATGGCACCTTAAGGGACTGGCTTTCTGGTATGTGAGCTTAAACATTTATCTTCCCTAGATGCTCTTTGTTTTTATAGTTTCAATGTGTTACCCATAGGCCTTAAAATGAAACCCCAACTCTTTTAGACAAAGAAAGCATGTCTTTCATTGCTTTCTATTCGAATGAAATTTCAGAGTGTTCAAATGAGAAAAGAAATTCTTTTGTTATGCATTATTCTAACTTACTCTTGGGAATTATACAAAATTATAACATTAACCTTTAAATTCTCAAGTTTCACCACAGCAATGTTAAGTAGTTTGGCAACGTTGTTCTTAATATGCTGTCCATTCTAGAGGCAGAGAGGCCCCCATGTATGTCTATGCTGTATTCTGTCACCACTCACCACACACTTCCAATTGTTGGCTCTGCCTTGGCCACTATTTATCTACACAACCAAAAATTGCACTAGCCAATTTTGGAATGTTTGACCTGTGCATATTTTCAATCATAATCTATTTTGATAGTTTATTTTTAATTCATAAATTTATGTTTACCATGATGTGCAGGTAAAGCCAAGGAAAACCTGACCTTCAGTATGAGGTTATGTATCGCACTGGGTGCAGCTAAGGGAATTCTGTACCTCCATACTGAAGCAAATCCTCCTGTATTCCACCGAGATATCAAAGCCAGCAACATTCTTCTGGACTCCAAGCTGAATGCTAAAGTTGCTGATTTTGGACTCTCACGGCTTGCACCTGCACTGGAGGAGGAGGGGACCGTACCTCATCATGTATCCACAATTGTGAGGGGGACACCAGTAAGTGTGAACTTCTCATAATATCATGTAAGGAGATAAAAAAAGGCCTATCTTAGACTCCCACTGGATTTTAGCTCATCTGATTGTAGTATGAAACTTTCCTAGAAACATATAAATTCACTCTCTACAAGTTTCGGGCTAGAAAGGGATGTTCAATTATCTAGTACATACTCCCTCCATACCCAAAAAAAAAATAAAAAAAAAGTCTTTTTTTTTTTTATATTTTGAATTTATCCTAGATTAATTGTCCTTTTTTCATTTTTTAAGATAGACAAATATTTTTTCCTACTTTAATCTTATCATTATTCTCTTACTTTAACCTTATCACAAAGGTCTCCCTTTTTTTCTTTTATTTCTTTTTTAAGGTTAATATAAGTAAACACATAACTTGCCTCCAAATCCTAAATTTGGAGAAAAAGTAAAAAAAAGTGACAAAATGACAGTTATTTTGAGACAGAGGGAGTAATGAAATAACTCAGCTGATTTTCAGGTCGTTGGGACTTTTCTTATGCCAGTGATTTGAATCACCCCAGTGTTTAATGAGCTTAAAATTCACTGATACCCCACTGCTTCCAGGACTAAATTTCTGCAATAGTTTTTATCCCACAGCATTTCTACTTGTTCACTGCTATATAGCACCAATGATTCTTATTCATGCTATTAAACCCTTATCATGTGCAGGGTTACGTTGATCCAGAGTACCTTCTAACTCATAAGTTGACAGACAAAAGTGATGTTTATAGCCTTGGAGTTGTATTTCTGGAGCTGTTGACTGGTATGCATGCTATTTCACATGGCAAAAACATTGTTCGAGAGGTACTTTCTTACTCAGTACTTAATCCCAAATCACTCATAATTGTAGTCAAATCATTTTCTTCTTTTTATGACTCCTTTGACTAAGGTTTGGTTCAAAATGTGGTTCTTCTGCTGTAATAGATTCAAAACAACAATGCACAAATGCAGTTTTCATTTACTCAAATGTGCAAAATCTAGAGACATCAGGGTTTTAAGTTTGAACAGTATTGAAAAATCATGAACCTGATCATTTGCATACTGAGAATCTGAAATGTATTTTCAGGTGAAAATGGCTTGTCAATCAGGCTTGATGTTATCCATCATAGACAGTAAGATGGGTGCATATCCATCCGATTGCATTGAAATTTTTGCATCTTTGGCTCTCTGTTGTTGCAATGACAAGCCAGAGAAGCGACCATCAATGATAGATGTAGTCAGGGAGCTAGAACGCATACTCAAAATGTTGCCGGAAACTGGAACTGTTTCTTCTGAATTCACTTACATGCATTCCAGCAAGTCGTTGTCATCATCCTCGTCTTACAGTCACCAGGGCCAAACTGGATCGTCTTGGAATGTGTTGGGAAGTGATGCCATGAGTGATGCTACTCTCGCTGTCTCACCTCGCTGATCCAATTATAATTTTGTTGTGGAGAATTGCTTTTTATGTTCGAATAGACGAAAGAGAAGAGAAAGAAACAGCAGTTTCGACATTGTAAATGTATTCACTTCTGGACATGCAGTAACATGCTCACACAAACTGGAGTACCTAATTGAAAAGTATTTAACCTTAGGGGTCAATGTATATTTTGTGTTAATGAAGCACGGTGTCGGAAAACCGGTTTATACGCTATTGATTTTCGATATATCCC